GATGAGATGCCTAAGACCCCTAGGGTTAATCTGAGCAAGAGAGACATTGTTCGCCGCTAGAAAACGAAGGAGGAATCCAGGTACCGGAAACCAGAGCAGGCACTGGTCAAAGTAGTTCTCATACAGAGTGAAGTACCCCGCAGGCGGGGCATCGGCTCTGTCATTGGAGTCAGGGACAACTAGTACGATTTCCTCTGAAATCCTACATCTCTCTCGAAGGAGTTGGAGTGACCCCGCATCCGAGAGGGTAGACCCTGGGGGATCCGGGCGAGTCATCGCTTTTCGCTTCTTCTTAGCCATCATCGTTTGTTCAACCTCAACAAGCGCATCATCACCATCTCTCTCAACGCTGTGAGCTCGTGAATCAAGCGAAGAGGAAGAAAGCGATGACAGTGAAGCATCAGCAAAACCAGGCGGAAGTAGCGGAACCTCGTCATTCAGAAAAATCGGGCTGCCAATACCCTCATGACGAGACCTCGGGTCTTCATCACCAGCCCTCCTCGAGTCGTCTCCAACATAAATCTTCGGGTCGTTGGCAGCAATGTTCGACGAGTCTTCGGAGACATCGGCGTCGACCTCATCGGTTACGCGAAGATGACGCCGCGAGAGAACAAGTTTATCGCGATGACGAGTCCCCGAAATCACGTTTCGGGACGAGTCTTCTTCAGCTTCATCGGGTCATCGGAGCATTGATGCGAGGACATCGGGGCGACGCGCGTTGGGACTTCGGTGACAAGGGGACGATGTGTCGAAGCAGGGGCTAGATCGCGACAAGCGGTCCCCGACGCGAAAACTTCGACGTCGTGCAGAGAAGACCTCGCGTCTTCCAGGATGCGACGAGAACACCTCGCGTCTTCGGGGATGTGACGAGAAGACCTCGCGTCTTCGGGGATGCGACGAGAAGACCTCGTGTCTTCATCGCCGAGATATATAACCCTCTTCGGAGAAGCGATGACCTCATCTTCGCCGGTCTTGTCGCCAACATCTACGCCACGGTCATCTTTGCCAAAATCATAATCTGATTCAAGTCTCCCCATTTCCATAAACACAAAATCGCCTACATACATCCAATTTAGGGATTAAAAATCGAACAAAAATGAAGAACAAGCTTCATTCATCTTCAATGGACAAGATG